TTAGAATGTCAGAAATTCGATCATGTTTATAGCCTGAGGGATGGGAGCTGATGGTGAGGGAGAGATTAAATGCCTGTCAGAGTGGATGATTGATGGCCCTAATCTAGAGTAGCACAAAGCCTGGTGGGAACTGGCCCAAAGGCAGTACAGAAGTAAGGAAGAGTCTAGGACCATGTGAGCAGGAGCCATTCTGAGTTACCAGCTGGAGGGAGAAACAGGACCAGAACTCAGAGACAGAGCCAAAGGCTGCTGGTTGACCAGGAAGTTACTGTAAGGTTCATCAAGTTGTATGGGGATGTATGAAGAGTCTGGAGACTGAGAAATAGCCAGAAACGGGAAGGTCAGTCAGGGGCAATTCAGGAGCAAATTCTGGAAGCACTGTATCCTTTGATGTGTACTTTTTATGTGCAGCTGGAAGTTTTCTGAGCTAGAGAACACTTTTCAAAAGTGAAAGAAGACTGCAGAGAAGATGGCAATGTGCAATTGTGGCAGATTAGCCTTGGAAAGGAACTATGGGCTTGCTGTCTCTAAGACAGGAATTTAAGATACATGAATGAGAAATGATGCTGGGAAACTTTGAAATACAACTTACATTCAATGAACAGATGCATTTTATCTTTTCAGCAAATATGAGGAGAGATTATTTGAGGAGAAGAGGAGGACATGGTAGGGGTTTAGGCTTCAGCAGAACAGAAAAGACTTGGAATAGTTTCCGAAAGGAATCAGCCAGAGACAAACACAAGTTTTGCCAGGCAGTATTGGAAGATCAGCAGTAATTAGATAGCATAAATTTGTATGGAAACCAACTGGCATCATTAAGTGACTTTCACTAGCAATTTTTAAGCCATGGAGGGTGGAATCAGACAAAAGACTGACAAACTCACGTGGTGCCTGGAGACAGGGATGAGTTCCTAGGAGGATTTTCTGCTGTAGGTATGAGTACATTTGAAATGACCAACTTCAAAATATAGAGTGGATAAGGAGACTAATATTGCTTCAAGGAAGTTGATAAACCAGGAAAATAGAGAGTTACTAAGTAACTAGTGGCCACAGAAGCAATTAGAGGTTGAGTGAGCAAGTGGGACAGAGGAAAGGTCAGACGATTGTGGCCAGAGGAGAGAATTTCAGAGATGAAGATTTTAGAAGCAAAGGAAACACATGCTGGATAAACATGAGATCCAAGTTGTGACCGTGCTGCTGAGAAGCTGAAACGAAGTGGAAAGCAAAGCGTATTGGAGCTGAGGTCAAAGAATGTGAAGCCAGAGTGGGTACTGAATTGAAAAGTTAATAACAAAGATGTGGAAGCTATTGAGGAGATGGAATGCGCCTAAAGTAGATAGAAAAGCTGTTGATCAAGACAGCAGCCCGAAGGAAGTGGGCTGGTTCTGAGTGTTTGGGGATAATGTGGTATAAGTGAAGAGCTCTGCCTTAGAATAGGAGGATAGATGCAGATGGTCGGAGGAGGCCAAAAAGTGGCTTGGAAGCAGCCCTGGAATAGGGAGGACGGAGTTCTGTAAATTGGGTTGGTGGAAGTTGAGTGGTCTCCATTTGAAATGATTGGGAAGAAGGTGTAATATTGTTGAAAAAAACAAGATTTACTTTATGTTGGAAGTAGAAGGAGCAATTGAGGATGTAGGATAAGCTAACTCCTATTAAAACATGCATTTTAGAGATCACAGTTCGTAATAGTGACTAGGGGCCTTGCTGGATCTGGAGATGGGGAAGTAGAGCTGGAATTGGGATAAGTTTGTTGAAGTCTGATTTTGAGTTTAGGGACCAGAACAGTAATTATAACAGGGACAAGGTGAAGATGATCATGAAAGGTAGAAGCACATGCTAATAGATATAAGCTAGAAGAGAGTAAATAAATGTTCTATTATTACTGAACTATCTGAAATTAACCTCAGGTTTCTAATTAAAATGTTAGTGTGTCCAATTGTGAATATGTATTTGGAATGTTAGTGTGACTAATTCAAACGCTGGCATGACCGATTGGAATGGCTGTTGGAACCAGTGAAAATATTATCTTCATCAGCTGGAACATTGGTATGACCAATCACAACCTGGTAGCTAAAATAGCTAGAGGGATTTTGGCAATGATGGAAGCAGAGTAGAATCTTAGCTTTCAAAAGAGATACATTATGAGACTTTTAAAAATCCTATCAAAGCAGTATTTTGAATGCTGATCAGAACACAAAACTGCATGAGCATCTTTTTTTTTTTTTTTTTTTTTTTTTTTTTTTTTTTTTTTTTTTTTTTTACTCTAGCCTGTCCCCCAGGCTAGAGTAAAGTGGCTCATAGCTCACTATAGCCTCAACCTCCCAGGTTCAATCAAATCCTCCCACCTCAGCTTCTCAAATAGCTGTGACTATAGGCCCATGCCACCACAGGGGCCTTTTGTGTGTGTGTGTATTTTTTGTAGAGACGGTTCTACTATGTTGCCTAGGCTGATCTCAAACTTCTGGGGCTCAAGTGATCTACCCACCTCAGCCTCCAAATAGCTAGGATTACAGACATGAGCCGCTGCGTCCAGGCTGAGCATCATCTTAAGATGCTCAAGTACTCAATAGGGGGTTTCGTTTTATTAGTAACTGTCATGTTTCTAGGCATTGGCATCCGGTAGGTTTTTAAAAACATACTTGTTGAATAAATGAATGAAGTTTCATGGAGAATTTTTTTCCCCTCAGATTTCAGTAATCTGAGGCATTACCATGTGGACCCTGAACTGTGCACTTGTTCCTTTTCCCCTTTGCATTGGCAACTAGGAAGCTCACATGTACATTATAGTCCATCTCTAGCTGTTTATAGAAGTGTATGGCATAGATTTTCTACTGACTGTAACTCTGACTTTAACTTACTTTCCTACCTGCCTTAATTTTTATGATTTATTTTTTAACTTGAAATATCTATTTTACAAACTGCCTAAAATCATGTTAGGAACAAGGTAGGTAGGCAAAAGGATGGAGAACTAGAGAATGGGCTAATAAAGGAAGAGTGGGAGGTAGGGAAAGGAAAGAAGGAGGTGGGAGAGAGCAGGTGGTGTAGGGGATGATTACATCTTAAGATACTCATGTACTCAAGACCCAGAGAACTTATCACTTTGTGTGCCCTCACACTCAGGGAAGAACTGCTTAAGGCCCTTTGTCGTGGCCTGCTTAGCCTACGCGCTAGGCCCTGATAGGTAGTACGTGCTCAATGAAATCTTGGCGATTCGAGTGGACAATTCCTGGGCTCACTGAATATTTGTTGATTGCCTATTTTTAGCATTTTTTAAAAATGTCTCTTAAAATGCTTGGATTTCTTTCTCTGTTTGGGAAACAGTGTGATAGAACAGACTAATATGACTTCTGGGGTCAGACAGATTTTTGTTTGAAAACTAACTCTGCTGCTGATTGGCTTGTGCCCTTGGCCAAAAGATTTACATATTCTCTCTTGGCCTGTTTCCTCATCTGTAAAATTGGGATAATGTTTACTGCCAACTCGCTGGGAGAGTTTATTAAGAAGATGTATATAAAAGCACCAGCAGTCTCTGGTACAGAGGAGGAACTGAACAAATTTCAGCTCTCCATTGCATTTGACACACTCATCTGGCTGACTCCTTGTGACCAAGTAGCCTGTAGCTCCGTCTGCGGTGCTCTGCCTCTGCCTGTGAGCCAGCTGGAGCTCCAGCCAACTGGAGTCTGGAGTGTGGCTGGCCTCCTTAGCCCAGAGCTGGGGGAGCTCATTATGCTCTAGAAGTTGTTGGGCTACTGGATAGATACCCATCCTCTCAGACTAGCAGATGAACAGTTTGTAACCTACCTTTCCCAGGTAGGCTGTTTTCCAGGCTGTTGGCCTGGGAATCAAGTCAAGAATCTCTGTCTTGTGTGGTTTGATTCATGCTCTAAGGACAGTTCAGAATCTGTGACCTCATAATGGTTGAGTAAGAGTGTTGAGATTTCCATTCTTGTGCTGAGCTTGGGTTGCCCAAGATGATACAGAATGTTCAGACCATGGCAGGATATTGTATTTTCCTCTGTTCATTTGGCCCATTGTTCTCATGGTTGCCTGGTCTATTCTCCTTGCCAGAACCAATGTAGCCAATGTCTACCATGTGCCAGGATTTTCAACCTCATAGGACATTACCCTTTGCCAGTGGGAAAAATATGTTGCCCTGGACTTTAGGAAATGCTCCTGATTTTTGAGGTTCCTTATAATTCATATTAGTTCTAATTGGGTATCTTGCCTATCACCTTTGTTACCTTGTTTATGCTTATTAAGTGTTTTTATTAGTGACAGGTTTGTTGTCAAAGACCTGGGTTATCTGCTTATAGTTTGCTACTGTCCCCCTGATGGCAGGACTAATAATAACCTCCCTGGTCTGTCCTCACAATTGGGAAAGAACAGTTTTCTTATTTACATTCCAGAGTGGCCAGATTATAATTTTGGAACAGCCCAGGAAAGATCCATGTCACGTAAGATTCCCACATAATCATTCAATACTCTCTGAACATGTACTTTATGTTCTAGCTCCTGTCTAGGTTCTTTGCAGTGAAGTCTTGTATTGAAACGTGTTGAAGACTGGGCTGAGCATTGGTTGAGCCCAGGAGGTGATCTAGAAATTTTGGCTTTGAAAAAAATATATTGTTAATGTAAGCATTTTTGTTTCTTTTGATAGAGAGGACCTGCTGCTTTGTCTTTTAAAAAATTGAGAAATTTGGTTCTTTGAAAGTACCCATTTGTTTTTCTCCACATGGAAATAATGAATAATGGTTTCTACGGGCAAACATATTAGTTGAGAAATATAGCTCACCTTGTCTATTTAAGTACGGTGGGTGGTATCGGGAATGTGCTATCCCTGAGTAGCCCAGCGTCAGCCCAGGCCCATCCATAGTAGGCCTGTGACTCATAGGCAGCAGTCTACACACAACTTAGGTATTGCCTTATGTGCTATAGATGAAGCCAGAGCTGTTCTTATTGACATGGTGGTTTCTGATTTCGAGATCTGTTTTTGCTTGCAGGAGCTGCTAAGCCGCACATCTCTTGAGACCCAAAAGCTTGATCTGATGACTGAAGTGTCTGAGCTGAAGCTCAAGCTGGTTGGCATGGAGAAGGAGCAGAGAGAGCAGGAGGAGAAGCAGAGGAAAGCAGAGGTGAGGATGATCTTGTACTGTCCTAAGCTCAGTCATGGGAAGGCTATCATAATGTGAATTTAGGCTATCTGGTCAACTCCCAGCCTGGAAGCTATTGGGTGCCAGAAATATCTATACACCAGAGATGCAGTGATCTGTTAATACCAAGTTATCAGGTTTTGCTGTGGCTGCAAATTTCAGCAATATCCAAACCACCCAATTTTGGCTCTAAGGCTTTATCCTCCCTCAAACTGCTGGCAAGGATGGAAAGAGAAGCAATAGTTGGGGAAGAATAAGACAAAATGTGGAGGGACTCAAGATGTCTTCTGAGAGGCCCAAGGTAATGACAACGTACAGGGGTGAAGTCGGCCTTCCAGTAGGCCATTGTCACTACACGTCCAAGGAGTCTGGAAACATTTCTTGACATGCATTTTGCTGACCCGGAGGGAACCCTCAGGTTATATGTTTCTTTTCTCCTGATGGGTCTCATGGAGCGGCCCATGAGCAGGCCTTCTCTTAGAGAATGTTTTCCAATTTTTGTTTTTCAGTCTTTGTATGCCATTGACTAGAGCATGCCAGACTCTTTTTAAAATAAATATTTACAGAATTTTAGGCTCAGAGCTCTTTTGAGAGCAGGCAGCATGTTTTAACCTTAGATAACTGTCTTCATGTGCCTCTGCCTTTAAGTTCTTATATTCACACCTAGCAATGAGAGATATGAAAGAAGATAGGTTTTAGGTTTAAAAACACCTTGCTTATTTACTGACCTAACTGCTTAATAGTTCTATGAACTTCAAGTTGGTTACTTAATCTCTCAATTTCAATTTCTTTATCTGTAAAGTGGATAGCTTTGGTAAAGTCCAAATAAAATCATGGAAGTTAAGTACCTGTCATAGTATTTGGCATTTTGTTGATACCTGCTGTATCCTCATCTCCTTCCTTCAGTTAGGCTAAAGACAGATACTGTTTCCTTCTGATAAGTGCCAGCATTACTGCATACTGATACCTGCCATGTTTGCTGAGTAAACACACTGGTGATTGGAATATTTCTAATGTGTGAGCATATTCCTTGCATTGCTTTTGAGAACATGTTCATTAATTAGAAGTACAGATGCCAAAAGAAGATATCACCAATAAGTTGAGAATAGTAGCTTGTATTGATTAAGAGTGCAGGCTAATCAATCGAATCTCCCACCTTTGAACTGAGCTCAGTGGCTGTGTGATCTTGGGCAGGTAATTTAACCTCCCGAACCTCCGTTTCTTTTTCTGTATGATAAAGGTAGTAATACTTCCTATTTCTTTGGTTATTTTGAAGAGTGAATGAGATAATGTATGTGGATCCCTTAGCATGGTCCTGGGCACATAGTAATTAGATTTAATTGATAGTATTGTTAAGCATGTTGGAAATGAAAATGTAGACACACATACATTATTTACATGCTGCAAAGTTGACACAGCCTGAAAGCTAATCTGTGTGAAGTGTTAGTTGAATTAACTGTTCGGGGAGAAGTAATTGAATTTTCTTCTGGTTGAAAGTAGTTTACTAGCGTTTCAACATACACAATTGTATGTGAACACACATTAGGACTTGGGGGGCAGAATTCCATCAACTCTGTAAGAAGGCTTAAAGTGGCAGATACTCAACTCAGGATCACTTAAGACAAAACGGGAGGTGAGAGAGCTATGTCACCTCACTTGAAAAGTCCACAGTTTAAAAAATACAATATGACTAGATCCAGGTAATCTCACAGTGTCACTAGAAATTAGTCTCAGTTGTATCACTTGGTTCTGTTTTAGCCTTATTCTCAAGAAGGCTTTCCCCAAGTGGTGACAGAGATGGCCATCAGTAGCTCCAGAATGATATCCTGCCAGTCAGGCAACTTCCGCAGTCAAAGAGGTACTTTCTCAAAGGTTCCAGCAAAAGCCCCAGGGCTGCATCTCACTGGGCCACTTTGGATCACATGCCTGGTTCTACACCAGTCACCACAGGGATCCGTGCATGGGAGGTGGTGGGTATGAGTTTGAAAGTCACTCCATCTGTGGAAGTATGCAGGGTTAGCACCAAGCTGGGATAATGCAGTCCCTCTACAGGAACATCAGAAAGGAAGGAGCGCTCCCACTTCTGGGACAAGATGCACTAACACAGTCATTTTACTGTTTGCTTTTTTTCTTTCTTTTCTGAAAGATTATTTTTAAATCTGAATTTTTTGTTGTTGTTTTCCATCGGTCTGCTCAGAAATAAGGCAACGTAGACCCTGAGCATCTGGCCTCAATCCTACCAGATAACAGCCCTTCCCAGTTGCTAGTACAAATATTAGGTTTCCACGTGGAGGAATTCTGTAGGCTGTTCAAACCTGTGATAATCAGTGAGCAGCCACATGACCTGAAACCAATTCTTCATTCTTGTAATTGCACATAATCTTTGCCGGTATGCACAGAACTTCTACCTCTATTTGTGAGTGTCTGGAGCATGGATCACCAGGGGTTTAAAACCACAGGGTGCTGCTAAAGCTGCAGTATCGCCATGTGCATGGAGATGTTTATTTTGAGTGAAACATTTTGCTGGCTAAGGTCACCAGAGTTTGTAATTGCATGAATAAAGGGAACGCTACTTCCCATATTATACTGCTGCTGTTTTTTCCAGTGAATGTTCTTAGCCTGAGGGCTGATTGCGTGTGGTTTGGAACAGGCAGGATTCTTTTTTTTTTTTCCTTAGGTATGAGGAAGGCAAATATGAAATAAACTTCCTCAGTTTAGCTTAGGCTTTATCCTCAAATTCTGTTTTATGTTTTAATGAAAAGAAGAGAATGCTGGTGGCAAGAGCATTGCAGGCTGCTCTTTCTACTCTGGTTCTGATCATAGCCTAAGCCAGCGTCCTGCTGCTTGTTGTAAGTTGTGGAAATGATTACTGACAGTCATTCTGTAAGACCTAAGGACTTGGGGGCGCAGGTTCCTTGCTAGCCACACTTGCTCAGGAGTAAGTAATGGCCCAAATGAGATGTCGGTGAATACTGGGTTTCCTGTTTACCTTTTCTCGTCAGCCTTTTGCAATGGTTTGGGATCATATGAGGGTACTGAAGATTGGATGAATTAGACGTACTCCTGAAAAGCAGGACTACGAAAGAGTGATTGACAATGAAAATAAATACTAAAATCAAAGAATGGAGCATGAAAGAAAGAGATCCAGATGTAAAGGAAAACCTCTGTGTGGATACAGGCCAAAGCATTGCAAAAGCATGTTGCTCAGTTGAGTCTTCCCCAAGAAAGGAATCTGGCTTCCCCATGCTGTGGGGGTGCCAGCAACCTGCAGCTGGACCCCACTGTGGCAACGGAGGGTTCTGTGAGTAGTTACCAGAGCACCCTGTTAAGGGAACAGGGCCCCCAGTATGCTAGGAAGAGGAGTCAGCCCAACTGATCAGGGGTACACATGAGCAAGAAGAGAACAGGAAAGAATCTTAAGGATTTCCTGCAGAAAATGGAAACATCTTATAGCACAAGTGCTGATGCCCTCATTCCTTCTTCCTTGTGGTTAGGACCTTGGGAGAAAGGGATTCTGATTTCTGAACTGAGGCAACAGAATGATGGACTTGGAATATAGAGCGAGATCTAGAAAGATTGTTTGCTCAGAAATGAGCTGGCCTAAGGAGGAGAGTTTTATTATTCTTGTTTTTACTTTCTTTGTTTACTCACTTGTATCAGTATAGGAAATGTACTCCCACAATTCAAAAGTCAAGAGTTCAAAAGGTATATAGCAAAAGACCTTTTTCAACACCTGTCCTCCAGTCGGCAGTCAGGAACCATTGCCATCAGTCTGTACCCTTCCAGAGTCATCTTATGCATGGACAGGTACATTCATGTGGATATACACAGACACACACACACTTTTCCTCATTTTTATGCAAATGTACACTATTGTAGACCTTTCTTTTTAAATTTAGCAGTCTTAGAGTTCTTTTCACACCAACTATGTTTTTAAAAACTTCCTCATTCATATCTATATCTGCATATTGTTCTACCATCCAACTATAGCCTAATTTATTTAACTTGTCTTCTCTCAGTGGACATCTAGGTGGTTTCCAAGTTTCTGCTTTTACAAATAATGCTTTAGTGAATAATCTTGTATATATGTAAATATATTGATGTGGAATTTATGGGTCAAGGGGTACAGGAACTTGAAATTTTGACAGATATTTCCAAATTGCCCTCTCTAGAGCATAGAGGTTATATTCCTATGAGCAATGTAATGTATAAGAGTGCCAGGACAGTATTAAACTGAGCCTGAAAAAAAAAAGAAAGAACTAAGTAAAATTGTGTACAAGATTAGCAGGTAAGATGGGATTGGAAACAACTGTGATTATGGGAGATGCCCAGTAGTTTCACGTAGAAAAGAATCATAAAGAAGAGCTTTAATGGTCGGCACAGTATGATTTAAAACAAGGTGAGCTGAGGTTACAACACAAGACAGCAATTATAACCTCATAAATGACACCTAGATGTTATTCTGTGGGACCCAGAATGGAACAGAGCTACAAAAGGGTCTGCTTTATGGGAGGGAAAACAGACCTGTTAAGAGAGGAGATGGGCCAGCCCTGAAGATAAAGAATTGTGAAGCTAGGCCAGGCGTGGTGGCTCACACCTGTAGTCCCAGTACTTTGGGACGCCGAGGCATGGGGATCACTTGAGGTCAGTAGTTTGAGAGCATCCTGGCTGACATGATGAAACCAGGTCTCTACTAAAACATATAAAAATTAGCCAGACATGGTGGTGTGTGCCTGTAGTCCCAGCTATTTGGGAGGCTGAGACATGAGAATCGCTTGAATCTGGGAGGTGGAGGTTGCAGTGAGCCGAGATCACGCCACTACACTCCAGCCTGGGCAACGCAGCGAGACTCTGTCTCAAAAAAAATAAAAAATTATGAAGCTGAGTTGAAACGCCAAGCCTGAGAACAGACATATACCAGAAAACAATGACAACATGTAGCTAGGGAGAGTTAAGGCAGAGTAGCCCAGAAATTTCGCTTA